CAAATATGAAAAAGAGGAAACTCAACCAAATTGTAATTCGATGGAAAAACTAGTAAAATGTCACAATAGTCTGATGCATTTCCTTTCTTGTGGCATGTTTTATTCTTATTAGAACAAAGCAAGGGCAAAGTTCATCTAAAAGGAGTTTCAGGTCTACCTGTGAAACATCATGTCGCTGCTTAAACAAGAATTGATGGAATGACTTGAATGTGTTTGTAACAGAATGCATTTTGCAATCAGCGATGGTGAAAGGTGAACATTTTGTTTTTCTGTTTCTACAAACAAGAAAGTAAGTGCAATCCAGATACAGAATAAACACAAATAAATGTTAAACTAAACACTCCTGGGTATTTCTCCTTATATGTTTAAGGGCCTGTGAGTAAAGTAGGAAGTTATTGTAAAATATACAGAAAAGTAGTTTCCTCCCTGCTAACATTTTGCATATAAACTTTTCCAGGGATAATGGTACTCTTGACAATGGGTAGGCTTTATTGAGGTATTGCTAATATTTTACCACAAAATAGAGCTTAAAATTTTGTTCAGTTGAGAAAATCAATCTCTTCAAATACACATTCAGTTTATAAATGAAATTTGCTTGACAATTTGCTCCCACTTTTTCAGATTAGAGTTGCATCTGGGTGAAATGCTGCTTGACACTCAGGGTGACGGTTATGTTTCCTGAAATGTGCCTGCAGCAGCGTCCTGAATAAATACATACATACTTTCAGGCATACATTTATCTAAACAGAGCACTCTCCAGCTGAAGCCACGGCACTTTGCAATAATCTTTGCACCAGTATAAAAAACCTAGTTCATTATATTTGAAGTATGATAAGTTTAAAATGATTTAAACACTGCAAGCTTTTTGTTACTGTGTGTTGTCAATAATGTCTTGAGTGTAGTAAAACCAAAACTCTGCTCAAAGAAAATTGCATTGTAAATGTTACTTACAGTTTATATAACATTTGGGTCTAACTTGCATTCATTTTTTTTATTTAATTTATTTTTTCAAACAAACAAGACTGGTCAGAGGCCTGCCCAGCATGTTTTAGACAGTTCAGATCTTTTGAAGTGGTGTTCAGTGGAAAGGTTACGAATTAGGTTTGTACAATATTGGCAAAAAAAAGATTTTGATTAATTGTGACATTTAGTTGATAATGATTAATATGACAGTAAGGAAATGACAATTGTATTTGCATTTTTTTGACTAAATCAGTTAACCTGTGTTCTAAAAGTATATGTACAAATAATTCAACTAAACTGTCCTGATGCATCTCACTAATCCAGGAAAAAAAATTAGGTAGGTCTTCTGGATTGATTTTTCTTTATTGAAACCTCTAACAATGCTGTTATTGCGAGTGTGACTCAGCACCCTGTGAACAATAGGGATAATCAGGGCCCTAATGATAATCGAGCCCATTCTCATGCCCCCCGCATCAACACATAGACGTTTGACCAAGCGTCAATGTTCTCGTTCTTTACGAGATGAGGCGGAGGAGGACGAGTCCCTGAACACAGACCCTAAAATTAACCATATTAAGCCTGATCCCTCATATTAACCATTTTCATCCCAGACCCTGAATTTAACCAATAAAAGCTATGTACAGCCTATCCCTGACTCCAATCTCTCAAATTAACCATTATCCCTGACCACAGAAACTAAAACTAACCATTAATCCTGATCCCTCATGTTAACCTCAGACCCGGAAAAGCCGCGGGCGGCAAGGACGGACGAGTCCGACATGAGAACATTAGATAGTCAGGTGGTGCACATGATCAGAGCACTAACATCTATTATTAGGCTGATGGTCCTCTTTTGTATGTGAACAACAGTTTTGATTGTCATCATTAACCTGTTTGTTCACCATGTGAAGGCAGTGCACATAAGTCTCAGTTTACCTGAAACTCCTCAGACTCAAGAAGTCCCTTAGAGACAAAACATTTTATTAAACAAGAAACTGTCCAGAGGATCTACTTAATTAAAAAAAATGACTGTAACTTCATCACTAAAAGTCACGTCCCGCGTTATCTCCTTCTAGCACTCACTTTGATGCTTGTTTGGGACAGATGAACTGAGAGCATCGTAGATTCTCAGCTGAGTAGATTTGTTTTGAACATTCACCGGAGGAGAGTTTGTTGTAGCCGACGTTGCTTCAGTCTGCAATAACTGGCTTTCCCTGCTCTCCAGTTTATAGTGTTGTTTCAGGTGGTTGAAGAGTTTTATAGCTAGTGTTAGCGTTAGTGCTAGCGCCACACTTTCTTCCACCTTTTCACCACGTAAGTGCTCAAAATGACATCATCATGTGCCACTAATCACAGTAATACAAGGAGGTTCTTTAGAACAGCTGGAGTGCGCAGAAACCAGGTGACCGTGTGATCGGCTGGTGAAGCTAACGGTTAGGTTAGGAGAAACAGTGTTTATTTCTGACTGAAATAACAAGCTTTCAGTTAGTCCAGGGGCGGTCGAGATTGAAGCAGATTGCTGCTGTATTAAAACATCTCATCTCAAAAGTGAAAAGTTTAACGAAAATAATATTTTTAACCTTTACTGTCTTTCTGTACATGGTTATTTATGTAGTATTCTACATATCGGCAAGCACAGAGAGCAGCAGCAGCTAGCTGTGGCACTCACAGCAGGAGTATTATAATTTCTCTATCAGAATAACAGGTAATATAAAACTGCCAACATTCAAAATTTTATATGTTCTTGTTTTCAGGAACTGAGGTAAACCTTTGAGATGGTTAGTTTATTAGTTTGGCCCAAGTGGAGCCAACACCTCAAACAGGAAATGGCATCAGCCCGTTGCAGTGGACTTTGGTTCCGTCCAGTTTCAAATAAAACCTCTAGTCCCAATTTTTTATATAAAATTGACATGTAGTAAAATGTTTGTTTTGCATCTTTATAGCACATGTAGAACATCAGGTCATTATAGCACATGTAGGTGTTTTTGGGTATGTTCTAAAATGGAAAATATGTGTATACACAAATTATCTTACCTCGAGGCACCACGCTCTTAATGTGGTCAAGGATTAACCCAGGAAAGAGATGAAAAACTGTAACTTTATTGTAATCAGTCTCACAATAAATGTACCCAAAATGATTTGATGAGTTCTTGTCTTATCAGAACTAATAATACTTTATCAAGACACAAAAATGAGATTAGCTTATGATGGCACGTTCTCCATGGGCCATTTATTTACGGATTAAATGTATTTACAACTATGGTGAGTAATGAGTGATGACATAATTGAACCATAAAAAAACTGAGAGAGTTTGCAATCACGAGTGAATAACAACAAACAAACAAATAAACAACAAATAAACATAAAACAAACACTGAGAGGTGAGTTTGAGGCTTGGAGTGAGGTGAGATAAGTTGCTTTTAGCTGAGGATTTAACTAAGGGGGCCCTAGTTAATTAGGTAGAAAAGTCGTTTCGTTTACCAAATCTCATACAAAGATAAGAATCAAATTACGTCTGAGCGCCTGTGTGTCACCAGGACAAATGTTCACTTTTACCCTTTTGCTCCGCCGTGTGGGTACCAGGAGGGGAAGTCAGCAGTGGAAGGTCATCTCTGGGGGTCGTCTCCCAGGTAGGCTCTCCATGCAAGCTGGATGCCAGGCGGTCTGCCTGATAAACTCGACTGGTCCCTTGATCAGAGAAGGGGGTCACTCCCTGGTGACTCGTGGTCCGGTCCTTCCAGGTGGCTGCAAGACTTCTTAATTTAATTTCCACTTTGTAGAGAAAACGAGCTAAAACGACACATGAATTACAATTAGCTTATTTAACTTCTATAAAATCAAACTCAGATATTGAGCCGAAATTAAACGGTAGCTGTTCTTTCAACCCAGCGGGAGATGCAGAATGACCCCATCCTGCCCAGCCCATGGGGAAGGGCTGGCAGGAAGGGCCTCTGCTGAGCTTCTGGAAAGCTGTTTCTGGCTTCTGATGTTGAAAAGATCTCTTTCTCTCTTTCTTTAACTCTAAAACTCTGTCGATCCCGGGAGCTGCACTAACTTTTAAAACCTCCGTTATGGGCGGAGTCAAGGTTTTAAGTTGGCCAATGAAAATATTACACCTTATACAGGAAAAGTTTTTTAACAAATCAAATCTGTTTTGGGGAAAACTTTACTTAATGACAAAGAAAAAGGGAGTGTTTTAGTTTATTTATCTTGCTTCTAATTAAAGGGAGAGACATCTGTTTACCTCAGTAAAATAAGGGTGTCACATTTAATTAAAACTCAAGTCTTAAGGTTTCTAAGGATTAAATCATGGAATAAAACACACACTGTTTAAAATCATGAAATAAAAGAAACATCTTCTTCTTTAGGAAAACATTTCATTAAAAAATTAACACACAGTTAGCTTCAATGGGTTTTGTTCTTTCTGTAAAAAGAAACAGGTAAATCACATTTCTTTGATTAAGATATATGAAAACAGACAGTTGTTTAAAAACATTCAATCTTGTTCTCTTTTTTTCACATTTAATGAAGAATGTAGGTCCTTTGTCTCAGTCACTGAAGAGTCTGGTTAAAGGCGTTTATGACCCCCCTTTGAAGAGGAGCGAACAGGCTGTCCTTATCTATTAACATTAAGGCGTCAGGAAGTCTGGTGGGGGGTTGGTGTAAGAGATGTTAATTCTAGCCACAAAGGAAGTTTCCATGCAAAATCCTTTAATCCTTTAGAAATAATCTGAAGTTAAAGTGGGATTTTGTTCCTTTCTCTGAGCAGTCATAGGAACAAGTGAAATCTAATCAGAAATGATTATTTAGATGCAGGAAAATGCTACACACAGATATTGAAATAACATTTTGTTCACCTTATCAAAAAACTCTGTTAAAACTTTTAAAAAAAAACTTTTCCAAATGCTTGCACTTTCTAATTTATCTTTGGAGAAGTTGGGACAAATACTTGTGAATAAATGAAGACCATCATACAGTAAATGCTGTTTATATCTGCAACTTACAGCTCTGCTTATCATGTTTTTTTCCACATGTAGGATTTCCTGGGCCAGGCTTTCTGCACTTTGGGTGAAATCGTTGGCTCCCTGGGAAGCCGTGTAGAAAAACCTTTGATGTAAGTAGCACACCAACAAATGGGCAAGCCTTCTACAAAATAACTTCCTGTCCTATTAACAATAAACACACATATGGAAAGACTTGCATTGCTGTATTGTCAGTATACATCTTTAGCTGTTTGTTTGGTTTCTTGGTGTGAATTGACAAAAAAAATGAGATTTCACTCTTTACTCTTTGTTTTTGAAGCAACTAGGGGCATGAAATTGGACCAAAATAATGTGCGAGCACACAGCCAAATAAAAGAACAGTAGTAAACAGCAGCAGTGGCTAATGACAGACTGTAAACATGTTGAGATGGTGAACTGTGCTGTGAAAAGGGACATTTCTCACAGTGCAGTCAGTTCTGATAAAGCCTAAACTAAACTAAATCATCAGCTGAAACATAAAACAACAATCTGGAACATTTTCTAATTATTAGATGTCTGATGTTCTTTTCAGTTACTGATTAAAGTAACAAAACTGTGATTAAATCAGCGGCTGCTTTATGACAGGTTTCACACAGGTTGCTCAGTGTGAGGCTTGTTAAAGCTCAGGAAAAAAACTCTGCTCTTCAGAAAAATCTTCCCTTTTTTCCCACATCCAACACGAGTTTCTCTGAAAACAAACAGATCGTATTCTGCATAATTAAAATGTTCGGATGAAAATGAACAATTTTATGGCTCAAGCAACAGCCTGAAAGAAACAAATGCAAATCATGCAGTTAACCTAATGCAGACAATGCTGTGCAAAAGTCTTGAGTCATCCCACATTTTTGGTTTGTAGTCAAGTTTGTTTTTGTTTTTAAAGGAATTTCCGACTAGTTGTAGCCTTAGATATTATTCGATAAACATTAACTTCAACTATTAAGTGAAAAATCTAACAAACATACAGTACATCTAAAAAAAGTTCAAAGAAATCTTATTCTTTGAGCTTTTGCTGCAGTTTTTTAATTACTAGTTTTCAGTGCAGTGCTTGACTATCTTCATAGAGGTGAATTTTCAGGAGCTTCCGCTGTTAGAAAAAAGGAAAACTCTTTTTCGGCTTGTCATCATTTTTAGCCAGATCGAACTCCGGCTGATGTAAATACAGATCCAGACACTAGGTATTCATACATGTCAACTCCTCATTCACCAGCATCTTGACCTTAGAAATCCATAATTTATTTATTATAGTAAAAAAAATTTTCTTAAAGCTTTTGAAGAAATCCATAAGATCGCCCTATAAGTCTGTCCATGTAAAAATAGATGAAAATCCATGTACTTCGCGGAGAATCTGTACAATTTGACATGTATGCCTATTTTTTTCTCTTCTGTAACAAATGGGATTTTAAATATACAATACTTGAAATAAAAGATGTCAAGTAAAAATAAAATGAAAGATTTGCTTAATTACTTCAAAACTACAAAAACACAAACTTCATATTCAAATGTTGTAATGCAAGTAAATTTATAATAATTTATTAGTGTGACATTTATTTATTGTTTGTTCCAAATATGTTTTTATTTTTAGTAAATAAACAGCGAGAGCTTTGACTTTTACAGTGCCTGTTCAGCAACATGTCCACATCAAGATATTTAAAGCTGTCTAGTTTTCATTTTGTTATTTTCTCATGAATGTTTTATCTCCTCTCAGTCAATTTTAAGACAGGAGAGCTCATCAGAGGATGTGGTGTAAATTCACAATTAAATGTAAAAAGCAGCATGGTTAAATGTTAGGAATTAAAAAACTTATTCCAAAAGCAGGTAATAAAATAATGTGTAATGACACATTCATGCAGCGTCAGACTTTTCTGTCTCACATGAGGTTCCCCTTTTGTCTTTATTTAAAGTGTATTGCAGTTTGCACATATAATGATATTTTAATTAAAACGTACAGGCTTCATTTATACAATGATAATTAATTTCTACCACATAATCACTCGTAGACAGCAGCTCCATGTAAAACAGCAGTATATGATGCAACAAAATGTTTAATTTGTCTTTTGTTGCACATTTTTTTATATCTGATGAAATGTCAGTATCAGAGCAGCAAAGAGGGACAAAGAATAAAATAAAATGTTTATGAACTCGTGACGATCATGTTCGCCTGAATCATGTGAAATTGCACAAAGTTTAAACTCCGTTAAAAAGATGTGTGAAATGGGGGGATGCAGCTGCTGCACTTGCTCCAGTGATCAGGTGCCAGCGCTCTGAGCACTAACAGCTTGCATGAGATGTTTGTTAAAAACTCTGGCATGCAAGGCAGCAGGTGATATACATCTCTTCAACTGATGTTAGTTTCATCTGACACCAAAACAGTTTGAGGTTCACAACTCACCTTAGACCAGAAAATCATGTTAACTGTCATCTGTGATTAATGAGACAATTTTCTCATCAACCAGAGGGACTGACTATCAAATCTGATTGGTGACCAAGAAGATTTTAGGTCCCATAATAAAACTGTCATAGATCCTACACACCTGCTGAACAATCAGTAAACCTCCAGTCATCGTACTGATGGAGCAAAACTACAGTCTTTTTTCTGAACTTAATGAAAAATCTTTGGTTCTTTTTTTAAAGACTGCACCATATCTGTACATCCACTCTGTGTATTGTGTGTGTGTGTGTGTGTGTGTGTGTGTGTGTGTGTGTGTGTGTGTGTGTGTGAACATTCTTAGGACTATTTCTGGTAAATGAAATATACCAGAAATACACACACACACACACATGGCTGAACTTTTTTCAACATCACTTTGATTGTGTAGTTGCAATTAACAAGTCTTTGATGTAAAGTGGGGACCTCTTCAATGACCTCACTTCACTTGTAGCACCACTGTGCTAGTTGGGTTTAGAGCCACACAAGTTTGCACAGCTATCCATTTGGGGACATTCCATTGACTTCCATTGCATTTCTACAGCCTAACCCTGACCACAAACCCTAAGGCTAACCTCACAGGTACCTTCCTGACCCTAAAACTAACCTAAGCTCAATTCACACCTTGGTCCTAAACCCAACCCACAACCCACCAATGGCATTTAAACCAAATGGGGACTCGACTTTTGTCCCCAAATGCACCAGTCGTCCCCAAAGGTAGGATTTTTGTCTTAAAATTGCCCCCAAATGTCACCAGAAACAAACCTGACTGTGAATTAAGTTTTGGTTAAGGTTAGTGTTAGGAATAGACTAGTAATTAAAGACTAGTTATTTTTAGAGGAAATGTTTGGGTTAGGCATAAATACAGTTGCAAAAGTGAATGGAAGTCAATGTAAGTACTCAGTTTAATGCAAGTACAAAGATGTCTGTGTGTGTACTTATTTCTGCTACAGAGTGAGGACCACTTGCAAATAGTTACATCAAAGTGAGATCTTAGATGTAAAGAGGACCTTTTCTCAGTCCTCACTTTTTTTTGTTGTTGTTGCAGCTCTACAAGTCACTAGTTAGGTTTAGAGGTATGGTGTGAATTACATTTTGGTTCAGATTAGGAATAAACTAGTAAAGGTTAGAGTTAGGTAAAATGTCTGGGTTAGGCATAAATGCAGTTACAAGAATGAATGGTAGTCGATACAAACCAACCGGTACATATATTGACCAAAGCCTAGTCCCCATTTGGGGAAATGCCATTGGTGCGTTGGGGGTTTGATTGAGGACCAAGGTGTGAATTGAGTTTAGGTTAGGTTTAGGGTCAGGTATGCACCTGTGAGGTTAGCCTTAGGGTAAGGGGTCAGGCTTAGGCTGTAGACATTAATGGAAGTCTGTTGTGTCCCTATTAGGGCTGTATGGTATATGTGGTAGACTGTAGAAATGGTATGAAGTTGGCCTACGGTAGAAATGTACCCTCTACCGTCATTACGTCATTGCACCTGTGCCAGCATGGTTGCGAGTGCAGCGACAACTGAGCAAGAGTTTGAAATTAGGGTTGGGCATAATCGTATCATGTGCAATTAATCATTAGAAAAACATTGATTGATTACTTTTTGGCACTTGACGATTAATACGATTAATGCCTCCAGGCAGAGTCCACTCGGTACTCCTCTGTGCTTCAAATATGACAAACATTAAAAAACTTCTATATAGTTTATTTATCTATCAACACAATTTAAAAATGTGATGTACAGCCTGAAGTCTGTAATTTTGACACAATTTGGAACTGATTTTTATGAAGAGCAAATCTTTCCCACTAAATTGGTCATGTGACTATGGGTGTCCAGGGACTCCAGGGGATTAATCGTCAAATTAATCGTTATCGGCTAAATACCACAATTAATCGTGATTAATTTTTTTGCCAATATTGCCCAACCCTATTTGAAATATAATGAAGAAATTCTAGCGTTTTAAAACACGTATAGAGAGAATAAATCCTCTAAATATCCCCCTCCCGCTGTAGAAAAGTTACGTCATGTCGCTGGATCATAATCTCTCCCTCCCTCCTCCTCTCCTCCCGCTGCACGTCGCGCAGAGCGAAGTTTTAACAACTGTAGTTTTTTTCACACCCAAGTTGTCTGAGAAAAAACTTGTTTTTATGTATTGTTACCCACAGAGATGATAAAAAGATGTGGACGTTCGTTCAGCCGTAAATCCATCTTGTTAATGTCGGCTTGTGCTCTGAGCGCAGAGCAGCAGAGGGTCAGTTCAACAGGCTCACTGTATGGCAGGCCAATGTTGCATTTATTTGGCTTCACCACGCTTACATTCCAGTTATCTGAAATTGTTTTATGACTAGATTAGACATACAGTATTAGTTATTTAGGATAAAACAATAAAATGTTTTCTTTTATTATTTATGTTTTGTTTTATTTACTTATTTTTTAAACTAGATTTGATTAAGATTACAGTTTTCTGCAAAACAAAAAGCTCTAAAAATTACATTATCTTGACTTTTTATGATAATTTAATACCATGATATATACCGTTACCGTGAAGGGATTCAATTTATACCGTGATATGAATTTGATGTCATACTGCCCAGCCCTAGTCCCTATAAAGATAGCTGTACTAGACTGTGCATGTGTGAGTGACAGAATCAATGAATGCTGCGACTAA